TACTCAAATACAGCTTCTGGCTTAATTAAGCCCTACTTAGGTTTATAAGCCAATCCATGAGCTAAAAACCCAAAGCTTAAACAAAACAAGCAGTTTTTTTTTCGCTTTTTAAAATCATAAGCCACTATTTTACTGCTAAGCCAAAACTTCATATGTAAAGTGGTGGTATAACTCCATTAAATTTAAGGTTTCACAACCACCGGCTTATAAAATATATAAACCAAAACGCTGGCTTAACATCCTGAGCCAGTAAACTTAAACGGACAAAGAAGACCTTAATATAATAGGGTTATATATAGCTTTAGAAAAGCTCAATAGAATAAAAAATGTTTGTTTGGACTTAAAGCTTAATTAACCCTTTGGTTTATAAGTTGGCTCATAGCCCTGTCTTATCTATCTATCTATATACAAAGTGATAGTAACATCACTTATAAAATATAATAGGCTTATATATAGCTTTAGAAAAGCTCAATAGAAAAAAATGTTTGTTTGGACTTAAAGTTTAATTAACCCTTTGGTTTATAAGTTGGCTCATAGCCCAGTCTTATCTATCTATATACAAAATGATAGTTACACTGTTTACAAAATTGACATATCTGTGTTGATGTTTATAAACCAGATGAGAGATGTGAATTTTGTGAAAAATATTACTATCACTTTGTCGGATGAAAAAATGACCAAAATAAAAGTTGTAGATCTTGATAAGCTCTACAACTTTGTTGTTTATGACTTTTTCCATTTGAAATCATTTAGTATTTACAAATGCTGTTTAAATTTATCATATATTCAAATTGAATTTCAAACTGTTGGGGAATATAGTTATATAGAAAAATGACCAAAATAAAAGTTGTAGATCTTTATAAGCTCTACAACTTTGATGTTTATGACTTTTCCATTTGAAATCATTTAATATTTACAAATGCTGTTTAAATTTGTCATATATTCAAATTAAATTTCAAACTGTTGGGAATATAGTTATATAGAAAAATGAACAAAATAAAAGTTGTAGATCTTGATATGCTCTACAACTTTGTTGTTTATGACTTTTCCATTTGAAATCATTTAGTATTTACAAATACTGTTTCAATTTGTCATATATTCAAATTGAATTTCATGCTGTTGGGAATATAGTTATATAGAAAAATGACCAAAATAAAAGTTATAGATCTTGATAAGCTCTACAACTTTGCTGTTTATGACTTTTCCATTTGAAATCATTTACTATCCGAAAAAATATTATGACTAATAAAATAAATTATTATACAGCAGCTAATTATTTTGCACTCACAAATATAAAGACTTCATGCGAAAAATGGAAAAATAGTCATCGGTGATGGGTGTTAGTTATAGCCCAATAGAGATTAATCTATCTCAATCGGGCATTAGTTTAAGGCCCGTCACAGATGACTCATCCGTGACGGGCCTAAATGTCATCTCAATCGGGCATTGCTATGGAGCTCGTCACGGATGACTCATCTGCGACGGGCTCTATGGTAATGCCCGATTGAGATGACTCTTCGGTGACATGCTTTAATAATGCACGTTTTAGATGACTTTATCTCTATCGGGCCTTAACCAAAGCCCGTCCCGCTTGACTATTTTTCAATTTTTCATGAGTTGTTTATATTTGTTACTTCAGCTATAGCAAAATAATTCACTGTAGTATAATAATTCATCATATTAGTCAAAATAATCAACTAAATTGGCCATATAAATGACTACACAGATCAAGACTTTGTAATAAAACAAAATACTTCATTCATTACGATAGATTAGTACAAAGGCATCGGTCACAAGGTTATGCCTTCCGTATGATCTGAATGAGCATATGCCACATACTCTTGGGGATCATCGTCAAGGTCGATGTGAGGTCTTACATGAAGATTCTGGTTGTATTCTTCTTCATCGACGATATTTTCATCTCCGACAATTCGGCGCTTGCCATCCCTCATGATGTGCATCTTCTTGTTTGACGGGTCTTTTATGTAGAATATCTGCTCGACCTGTTTCGCAAGTACGAATGGTTCATCGGCGTATCTCTCCTTGGATAGATCTACTAAAGTGAAACCTTCCTTGTCGACTTTGACATCAGTGCGTATATTCACCCATCGGCAGCGAAACAAAGGAACCTTGAACTTGACGTAGTTAAGCTTCCAGATCTCCTCAATGCGGCCGTAGTATGTGTTTGACCCAACTTGATCCTGGAATGCATCTATACGGACTCCGCTATTTTGCACGGTGCTTTTGTCATCTTGATTGACGGTGTAAAATGTGTACCCATTGATATCATATCCTTGCCATGTGTCTATGGTCCAACACGGTCCCATCCCCAACAACTGTACTATCTCATTTGGGACATCCGTCGACATTGTCACACGATTCTTGAACCATTCATTGAACCAAGAATTATGTTCTCTGTTAATCCATGTATCCAAGCGCCCCAAGTTCTCATCTCGGATTTTAGCTAAGTGCTCCTCAAAGTAAGAGCCAACTTCTGCCATATGGTTGAGCACATCGTAATGAGCCTGCGCATAGGAAGCTTGATTAGGACTAATTCTTTTCCTTCCGATTGTGCCAACACCTGACAACCTTTCTTGTTGACGAGACGCTGGAACTCCGATAGGATCGGCCTCGGACATGTAATTGACGCAGAACTCAATAGCCTCCTCGGTCGTGTAACCTTCAATGATGCTCCCCTCGGGTTTAGCTCTGTTCCAAACGTAGGTTTTCAGAACTCCCATGTACCTTTCGAACAGGCACATTTCTCTTAGAAAAGCCGGGTCACATAGTTTTGTTTGCTTCATCAGATGAACAGGGAGATGAACTATGATATCAAAGAAAGATAGTGGAAAAAACATCTCCAGGTGACAGAGGGTATTGATAATATCAGTCTGCAACCCATCTAGATCTTTGGGATCTATAACCTTCTGTCTGATTGCATTGAAGAAGGCACACAGACGTTGGATCATGTTACGCACTTTGGGTGGTAGAATGCCTCTGATAGCAACTGGCAAGATTTGTGTGATTAGCACGTGGCAATCATGAGACTTCATTCTAACTAGTTTTAGATCGTCCAATTTAACATATTTACTTATCCTCGCTGAATAGCTCGATGGAACTTTAATATCTTTCAAGAATGATAACATTGCGATTTTCTCATCCTTCGACAATGTGTGGCAGGCTAGAGGGAGGTGCACTCTACCTGTCTCCTCATCTCGTATGGGCTGGAGTTCACTGCGAATATTCATGTCCTGTAGATCAAGGCGTGCGTTCAACCCGTCCTTTGTCTTCTCGGGAATATTCAACATCAGGCCAACCAAACTGTCACACACAATCTTTTCTACATGTATGAGATTAATGCAATGACAGGCATCAAGATCTTTCCAGTAAAGTAGCCGCCAAAATATGGATTTTTTTCTCCCACATACTCTTCTCCTTTGTCCTGCTACGTTTTCTTTTCTTTCCAAACTCATTAGTTACGTCCTTGACCAACTTGTGGACCTCATCTCCGGACAAATCCTTGGGAGCAGGCTGAAGTTCTCTCTTACCGTTAAATATTTTCTTCTTTCTTCTAAATGCTTGACGTAGCAGGAGCCACCTCCGATGACCCATGTAAACCATCTTTCGTGATTTCTTTAGCCACCGGCTTCGTGTATGTTCCATACAATCGGAGCAAGCCTTCTTTCCTTTTACAGTTTGTCCGGAAAGATTACCGAGTGCAGGGTAGTCATTAATGGTGTAGAACAATAGAACTCTTAGCTTGAAGTTCTCCTGACCTTATGCATCCCAAGTTTCCACACCTTCTTTCCAGAGAATCTCAAGATCATTGATAACATGCTCTAGGAATACATCGATATCATTGCCGGGTTGCCTCGAACCTTGGATTAACAAGCACAACATAATATATTTCTGATTAAAGCACAACCAAGGCGGGAGGTTATAGTTCGGAATAAGAACTGGCCAAGTGCTGTGAGTACTACTCATGTCTCCGAAGGGATTCATGCCATCAGTACACAGAGATATCCTCATGTTTCTAGGGTCGGCAACAAAGTTTTTGTATTTTCGAATGATATTCCTCCTTTCAATCGAATCCGCTAGGTGTCTAAGCATACCGTCATTCCTTCTCTCCGTGGCATGCCAACATACTAACTTCGCTTCGTTGGGGTTGGCAAAGATTCTCTTGAAACGATCAATGATAGGTAGATACCACACAACCTTTGCCGGACCACCCCTCTTTGCCTTCTTTCCTTCTTTAGCACTTTTCATTCGCTTGTATCGAGAAGCCTTGTAGACAGGACAAGCATCCAAGTCTGCATATTGCTTATGATACAATATGCAGTCGTTTGGACAAGCGTGAATTCTACGGTTCTCTAACCCCAGTGGACACAGAACCTGCTTTGCTTCGTATGTCGTCTCGGGCAATGTGTTCTCAGCAGGAAGCATAGCCTTCAAAATTCTTAAAAGATCTGTGAAACTCTTGTCTGTCCATCCACTACTTGCCTTCAGCTTCATTAGGTCCAAGGTAACTGACAACATTGTGTGTTTTGCTTTCCATCCGGCGTACAGAGGCATCTCGGAGTCACTGACCAACCTGCTGAACTTTATGGAATCTCTCTCATTGTGGGCTGGGTCCTCAACGTCACGTAACATGTCTTGCAGCAGATCGTGATCCACATCAACCATTTCACCGCCCAATGGAGAAGGTATAAACATGTCATTCTCATCTTCATTGTAATACCCTATGAACTAGAGTATGGTTGGGCGAATTCGAGGACGAATTCGATTGTAGGGGGAAGAATGTAATGCCCGAGCTTCATATTAGTGTATTTTAGGGAATATTAGATCAAGCGCGCAAAAGTTCAATTTTTTAAACCGTTGTTTGAATAGGCGATCAGGAACCGTGGATGCGTAGAGCTCGTCCAGAAGTACGAAATAGACTATAAGTTTGTGGTAATCGGAGTCCCGAGTTATTTCCGGTAATCGATTTAATGTGGGCCGTTTGATCTTCATTAGCCTCTCCCTATTTAACCAATAGAAGAAAAAAAAAAGAAAAAAAACAAGGAGGCATCGCTAGCAGCTAGCCCTAGCCGCCGCCGTCGGCGTCTGCACCTCTGCACCGCCGCTGCTGTGCGTCCGACGCCGGTCGCCACAGCCATCGTCTCCTTGGTGAGTTGCTGCTGCCGATCTGATTTTTGTCTTGCGTTGCTGTTGTTGCCGCTAGGACTGCTGCTTGCGCTGCTGCGGCTGCTGCCAATCTGCTGGTGTTGCTGCGGCTACTGATCAGCTGCTGTTGTCCCTTAAACGAACAGAGGAGGAGGAGGTTCTGAAGGCACAGGAAAGCAAGAGGGGAAAAGGAGAAAAAAAAGAGGCAAAGTTGGGGATTTTCTGGGATTTCACGAATTGATGTCGAATTTGTTTTCCTCCTCAGTTAGGGTAACTCCTCTTGGTCCATGGTAGTTCAGTTTTCACGTGGGAATCAATTGGATTGCCGGTCGGGTGTTTTTAGTTGTTGTTTATGGGCTGGCAATAGTGTTTTCAAATCTGGTATTAGACCATCGGGATTCAGGTTAGTTGTCCTAAATAAATTTTGTAGTAATCATCGATGTCTTTCTAATGCCGCTGGTTTCGCTCAATTCTGATAAACGGTTTAGGAGAAACAGCAAAAATAGTACTGCTGCCCGGTCTGTTTTAACAGGACAGTAATTAGTTTTATTTAATTTGAGACCAACAGAGGCATAATCTGATTTTCCTCTCAACATGAAAGTTGTAGAGAATTTTGTCTAGATGTCCAAAGTGATATTATTTGCTAGATTCCATTAGACGGTTTGTGAGTTACGCATAAAACTGTAAGGGAACTACTATAGGTTATTTAATACAAATCGGTAAAAAAAGTCTATATGTTCTAGGCTATCGATTTTAGTAAATATCTCTTGTAACTGTCATTAGTTGAGTATAGTGGTTTATGCGTTGTTTTGCTCCACAGGTGTGGAGGGTTACAACGTTGGAGGAGTTGAGTCAGATTATCGAAGGAGTTAAGGCAAGTACAAGACGGACTTATATGATGGACAATCTGAGTTGTTTTGTTTGGTTTTACTTGTAGGATTACTATTCAATTGCTTGATTTTACTGATCGTATGGCTATGTTGTTATTCTACTTATTTGTGTTTCAATCCATATTCAAATTCATGACGTTATTCATGTTTCATTATTCCGGATGTTCTGTTTACATTATTCATGAACCATGCGTAGTCATGGGAGTGCAATTTGGGTCTTTATTCATGATCCTTGAGAAGCGCTGATTACGCTTGCTCAGCTTACCGGTAATGCTAAGAGGATATTCATACCTGCCCGGGAGGGAACTACTATCTTTTGACTTCTTTGGTTTAAAACAAAGTAAATGCAACCCTTCATATTGGTTTCTTAATGCATAAATCATATGTATGTTTTACTAGTTTAATATTGTACTTGCTGAGTATTCTTTACTCACTCTTGTGTTTAATTTGGTTTTTAGGTACCTAATGACATTGATCGGCATGGGGCGGGAGTAGCACCCTTGGACTACACATTATTATTGCACACTAATGAAATTTAGTTTTATACTATGTTTTTGCTCAGCATAAGTTTTGCATAGAACTTGTAAAGGTCATTTAAAATTCTGGTCCTTATTTTCACGTGGAGTTTTATGGAGCTAGGATGGTTTGGACTGTGTGGGTTATTTCGTTATTGAGTTATCTTACAACTGCCTGTCGTGGATGTTCGTATTTTCAAGGGAGACTCTACCGAAATTTCTAATAATTTTGGGAGTTAGTAGTTTTTGAGTGTTTTTTTGGTGTGGCACTCTAAGTACGTGGTTACCTGGGGTGTTACATTCATCTTCCTGATTATGCGCACCACTTCTGTCTGCAGCTGCACCACTTCCTGATTCTTGCTCTCCATGCTTCACCTAACATGTATAGCCCTTCATGAATCCTCGTTGTATCAGATGACCGTGTATAACCCCTCCGCTATCAAACATATTCTCATTCTTGCAATCTGCACATGGACAACACGTGTAATTGCTGTTTCTTCTTTTCGTATCCTCCTCCGCAGCGTTCATAAAATTTATTACGCCATTTTTGTACTCTGGAAAATGACGTTTCAAAGTTGTCGCATACATCCAACTTCGATCCATTGCTATAAAATAAAAAAATAAATTAGAGGCAAATCTTATAAGATCAGTATTGTTAAAGTAAGATGTGATGAAATTGTTGAATTGATGATTAGTATTACTCACTTGATTGCTGATTTAATGATTACTTTTGGGAATTTTCTGTTCTCCTTGAAAAATAGACAAAAAAAAAATCGCCCCCTACAGCCTCCCACCAAAACAGTGAACAGTGGGATACAGTTACACTAGGTGTTGGGGGTATTTATACTGTGCAACAAATATCTATAACAGCCCTAAAACAATCAACCTTGACGGACATATAAGTAATCTGTATCGGGCCTTAATAAAAGCCCGACAAAGAAGAGTGTCATCTATGACGGGCATTAAACTTATCTCAATCGGGTCTCAAGTTGGAGCCCGTCACAGATGACGGTCATCTGTGACGGGCTTCTTTTAGGGCTCGATTGAGATATGGAACCATCATCTCAATCGGGCCTCACCTATGGCCCGTCATAGATAAGTGTCATCTGTGACGGGCTCTAGTTTTATGCCGATCTAGCATGTCTGTGCGACCATATCTCAATCGGGCGAAACTTTGGCCACATTGAGATTACTTGTGAGGCCCGCTAATTCCAAGCATGTTAGGGGCCTTCACATATGGAAGGATCTGTACTAGTGAGATCAAAAGCCCTCAATCAAATTTAAGAGATAAAAGATTCGGCCGGATTTGATGGGGAGAATCGGCTCCAGCATACTGGCATGAGTCTATCTTGAGGTTGAAAATGACAGTCGGATGTGCAAGCTGGACATGTAGCTTCACTTGTGGGCTGGATCGAAGAGAGAGCGGAGGGAGGTAGCGGACTAGGTTGGGACTAAAAAAGAAGGAAAGAACAGGTTTCAGGCCCAAAACCAAGGAACAAACTTCATTAACTTTTCCAATTATACTGTATAACGATCCTAATGTTTCAATTCATTGCTCAGTTCCTAATAGCCGTTTGATACGGAATCCAACAGATTGGGAATACCAACCGCTCAATCCGGCACCACGTCACCATGACCAACACAGTGGGAGATATCACAGAGGCGGTGACATGTACTCGGAACGGGGTTATGATGCTGGGGGAGCCAACTTATGGCGCAAACGAAGGGAGACGAAAGGGTGGCATACATTCAGAGTACCAGTCGAAGCCAGTAGGATCTTCTGATGTTGCCCCAGACATCCAGTGGAATGCAGGTGCTGATGATCAGAGGATGCGGCATCCAGCTTCAGGAGCATCGTACAGGGAGCGCAAATACTACATTTGATGTTGCTGTTAGGAAACTGTATGTGTTACATGAAGATGTAATCATGAAATCATCATCATTCAGCCCTGTAATCATAATTTGGACGAGATTAGTGTTGGGGGGATGGCTCCGGATTGACGGAGCAAGCCTCCGTCGGCAGCCACTTGTCCCGGAGCCCCCTCCCCCCCAAGGGCGACCGAACTCAAGCCAAGCACCGGGAATCCTGGTGCCTCGATGTACCGGAGGTATTTGGGAGTCAAGGTGACTGAGGCCTCCGAAGCCGATTGTCATGCCCAGAAATTCATGAACCAGAATTTCTAAGCTGAATGTGCATTAAAACCCCTGTCCAGGACCAATCAAGCTACACAAACGATAATTGTTGACATTGTTGATGGTCGTTACCGATCAGTTTTGACCGTCAATATCACCAAAATAGAGGAGAATTAGTTATGCTTGCAATGTATATATGTGTTAGAATAATAATACTCCACTAGTATTAGATTTACTAACTTTTTGCAGAGAATAACCATAAAGTGGAGGATAATCGACATTGAATCAAACGATAAATCAATAGGACGATATCGAGGATCAGACTTATCAATGAATGGGCCAAGAACTCAGTCACAATGAATTGGGCCAAAATTCACAAGTCTACGGAGAAGAGCAATAAAGGGGCCGGTTTGCCCCAGCCCATGGTTCGGCCGAACCAGGGGGTTCGGCCGAACCCATCCTAGCGCCGTTGGATGCAGGGTTGCGGCTGGATGGTGTGGATTAGCTCCGAATAACGGTTGGAGGGTATTTCCGACCATTCCAATGTACCGTCACAACCGTCATTGGGAGGCTATATAAACCCCTCACTCTCTCCATTTCAACACACACTCCAAGCAAAGCTCTATCATATTCTCTCAAGTTTAGTTTAGTGTCCTTTAGCTAGTGGAGTAGGAATAGAATAGAAATCGGAGTCCGGAAGCATTCGGAAGAGTTCGGGTGAGTGGCTCCCTGCTTGTGTGTCACTCTATTTTCTTTCCACTTAGCTTAGATATTTGAGTATGATAATGAGTAGCTTCATGCTTGTGTGTCACTCTACCCTTGATTTATCTTAACCTCTGCTTAGACTATGATTGTCACAAGTAACATATAAATTATTAGTCCGGTTCTCTCTACTATGATCTTCCTACAGGATTAAACAAATACGATACCCTTGGAATACTCTCGGGTGAAATGCTACAATGGTATATCCGTGCGCTTGCGGATGAACTCTGTAACCATAATATACTAGGAGTATTTCTGCGTCATTGCTGGGAATTATATTTCTAGTAATGTTGTTAAGAAATACCAACAGACATACAGATCCACGTCTTACAAACAATTGTCGTTTGTGTACCATGGCTGGTTCTGTACAAGGGTTTTAATGCACGTTCAGCTTAGAAATTCTGGTTTTTGAATTTCTAGGCGTGACACCGACCAAGGCCTCCGGAGCCCTTCAAGCCCCCAGAGCTATCTAAGGGCTCCGAAGATAACCTGGACCTCAAGGAGCCCTTCAAGGCCCCCGGAGCTATCCAAGGGTTCCGGGGATGACCTGGAGACCTCCGGAGCTATCTAAGGCTCCGGAGATGACATGGACCTCCGGAGCCGCCCGAGGCCTCTGGAGTCAAGCAAGGTCCCTAGAGCTGAGTAGGCTCTCCGGGGCTGTGCGGGACCTCCGAAGCTGATCACGGTCCCTAGGGCGAGCCACTGCCTTCGGAGCAAGTAAGAGCAACGAAGCATGTGGAGGACTCTAGGGAGCGAAGGTGAAACTGGACCCAGAGGCATAGTGGAGGGCAAGAAGTACACACTACGTACTCGCCAACCACCCCTGACACCTGGCTCAAGAGACGAGGCTGGGCAGGTGTCACGGGCTGCTTGTTGTGGCGCAGGCTATGGCCAGTGACCTCGAGCGCCGGCCCAGTTTCCTTGGTAGGCACAGCCCAACCTTGTCACCATGGAAATGATGAAGAGACCCAGGAGCTCGCCCGCATGTCAGTCACTTTAGCCTTGCTTGAGAAATAGAAGGATAGCACTGTAACTTCCCCTTATAATAGCCTTGGATACAGAATGCACATTGATTGCGCTAGTTGGTTTTTGTACTGCCTGGCCTCGCCAACTGGCTGGAAGGCATCAACGGCACCGACAAGCCCCACCCCCATCCGGCCTCGCCCTCCCCGGCCCTTTCCTCCCTCCTCGAGTTGTCGGTGGTGAGATACCCCCGCCCTGCTGCCTTCCTCGTCTCTGGCGTCTCCTCGCCGCCGGATCCGTCACCACCTCCTAACCACAAGCTAGCTGTGCCCCCGTCACCAACGCTGGCTCACCGTCCTCCTCCATCCCTATGGCTCCGGCATCGCCGTTGGCGCCTCGCTGCCCACCCATGCATTCCGCCGCCTCCCATAACCATCCCTCTAAGCCCAGTGACCTGCCCCTTTTTTTCCATCCCCCTCCCACCCCCACCCCACCCTAGAACTGTTACGCCCGGAAATATACACCATTTCCAAACGCTCAGTGCATTAATCCTCGTCCCAGGAGGCGAGGTACACATAGACATTGTTGATTATTACATGCCACACTTGCGGAAACGTAAATGAGTACTTTATTACATGGGCGACTTAGGCCCTCACACTCAAAGATAAACAAATAAAATAGCGGAAGACTACGGAACAGCAGCAGCCACAGGCACTCGACGGCGGAGCGAACTAGAGATCAAAGCCTTCACCTTCCTCAGGTCCATCCTCTGGATTATTTTTGTGAGCAAGAGTGAGTACCACCACCGTACTCAGCAAGTCACACCGGAAATGCAACAATAATGTGTAGGGAAAACAAGGAAATGGCCTAATAGGGTTTATTTTGCATAAAGCCATAGTTTAAACATTTTAATCAGGTTAAAGCTCATTTTAAAACACGATCCTGTTCTAAGCCAATATTTTAATATCATCAAGGTCGCATGAGCCTGCGAACCTGCCTTAACCCAGGCTAATCTCCACATGACTACACCATCATGATTTCACCCTCCCAAGGTTTTATAAAACAAAACTAACTTTGGGTACATTGCTTAGCTTGCCCATAACCGAGGGCGCGGCTATTCGAATAGTTTTTAACTCTGATCAGAGGTGTACAACTTTACCCACAAGACATAACCTCGGTACTCGGATAGAGGTCGTGACAAGACTATCCATTTAGGTCTACCCAAAACAGGAGAACCCGCTGAGGTTTCGCCGCCCGCCGGTCCCCGACAAGGTAAAGGTTGCCGGATCCCCCGGGACGAGACAGGCCCCCCCTTGCGCCGGGTGAAAAAACGGCCTTAATCCTAGCCCCACACCCTTCCAACCAATGGTCTCTGTTTTGAGAAGATCTAAACTTCCAGTCAGGCCTTACCCACTAGACTTGTGGTTGCACGAAGATGCCTTGCAACAGAAGCCCGAAGACCGGTCCTTATATTGGCCGGGGTGCGACTACCAAAGTAACCAGCTTGCACCTCGAGCCCAGCCCAAAAATATATTTTAGTTGCACAAATCATTTTATCACCCATCTATTGACAAACCAGTCAATAGTCCATAACTAATCCAATTTTAGTTGTTAACCACCAAAGTCTAGTTTAACCAAAAGTTCTAGGTTGGAACTTAGCATGACTAAGCATTTACCTAAAGCAATTAGTCAGTCCATCATGTAGGGTACTAGACTAGTCAAGTTATAATTTTACTAGGGTTCACAAAGATCATGGATATCAAATCAACATCATGACCATAACCAAGAGCATAGGAATAACTAATAAAACAATATTAATAATGAACGGTATAATTTATAAAGCAATGCAATATAAGTAAAACAACATAATTTTCACAATATGGGATTCAACATGTTCAAGGTAGATATGACTTTCCTTGATTGCTCACAAAGTCTTCGGCATCAACGGCGATGAACAGCTGATCTTCCGGAACGGCGGGATCTACACGACCAACGCGAAGAAATACAAAAAGGCTAATAAAAACCATATGAACAGAAGCAACAAAGAACATAAATGGGTTCTACTCATTTTTAGGAGAAATTAGAGATTTGAACGGGTCGATTCCGAGTTCAAACGGTCAAGATATGGCCATTTGAAGTTTAAGTGCTGTTTAAATGGAAATTTGCAATTTCGTGAATTATTTTACTAAAGGAAAACTGATTTATTGCACAGAGGAGAGAGAGAAGGGGTCCACGGGCGAGTCCCACTTGGCAGCCGCTCGGTACACCATGAGGGCGGCTCACGGTGCACAAGCACGGCCGGGAAGGAGAAGCACCCGAGCAGGCGGCTCGCCAGCGACGGCCAACGGCGCGGCGACGGTGTGACGGAGCACGGGAAGAGGAAAAACGGAAAGGGGAAGAGACGACGGTTCTCACCGAGCAGACGCGGCGGCGAGAGATCGACGGCGTTGCCGGCGGTGAGGGAGAAACGACGAGAAGCCTCGGGTCGTCGGCGTCGTCGTCGTTCCCGCGGTCCTCATGCTCGACGGAGGGGTGGACGGGGAAGAGGAGGAAACGGCGACGCGGATGGTGGCGACTCCAGGCACCGAGGAGGTCCCGACCACCGGCGACGGGCGACCGGAGTTGCGACGGCGGCGGCACAAGAAGAGAGCGGCGCGGCGGCCGCGGAGAGAGGAGGGAGAGGGCGGCGGTGTGAGGGGAGAGGAGGGAGTCGGAGTCCCTTTTATAGGCCGGAGGGGAGGGAGAGAGACGCCGGGCAGGGAGATCGACGCCGGCCATGGTGGAGCTCACCATTAAAGAACATCATCAAAATCCATCACGAATAATGCGGGATTGAGTGGGAAATTATGGGGGAATTGGAGAGGATGAGGTGGGAATTAATTCCCCCCAATTAATTTGATGAAACGGCGAGTGGAGGAGGCGAATCGGAGGTTGCCGTCGCTTGGAATTCGGCCGGAGAGAGAGGATGGCTGGAGGTTAGGGATGACGGGTGGGACCCACCTGTCATCGAGAGAGAGAGCACACCTGTCTCCGACTGGGCGCGCAGGGGAGGTGAAGCAGACTTTTGTCCGAGGGAGAAGGGGAGCAGTTGGGCCAGCCCAAGGAGAGGGAGGGGGAGAGGAGAGAGGGAGGGGTGGCCGGGCTGGGCTGAGAGAAGGAGGGGGAGAGATGGGCTCGAAGTGGCCCAAGAGGAGGAAGAGGATTTCTTTTAGCTTTTCCTTTTTATAAAATTATTTAATTGTTTTTGTTGCCTTAAAATTATTTAGAATGCTCTGAAAATTCAAGTAAAAATTGGTTAACCATTTTAAAGCATGGGGAATTTATTAAAAATACCCACAAGCCAATTTGATATAACTCTTAGTGAATTTTAATTGTTGGAGGCTCTTTTAGGCTTTTAAAATTTCTAGAAATGCATTAAAGCATGATTTAAATTTAGGGCGATTTTCAGGGCGTTACAAGAACCCTAATTCGTCGGTCCTCCGTTGAAGTTTTGATTGTCACCGTCGCCGGAAAAGAAGAGAGGTCGTGAGAGTTGGAGAAGATGCACATGGAGCACGATTCGCGAAGCACATCCAATGATCCAAATTCTGCAAGAGTTGGAAATGCATCCGTGTCAGTAGAAGGTTAGCAAATCCAAAAAAAAAAAAATCCATCTGTGTCATATGCAAATGCGGCGCATACCAGTCAGTTTCCTTGCACAAACTTTCGTCAAAACTTTTGGTTGACTTCTTTTTTGTTTTACCCCTTGAATTTTTGGTGGCTATGTTCTCCCTCTCTCCGATATATTATTCAAACACGTGCTGTATACTAATTATTAGGATTATTCTAAGTTCCTAGTGCAGTCAACTAGGAGGATATATTAAATGAAGGTATGAGCTGAGTCATATCGTACCAAAAGTAGTATATAAAGGACTATTTGTCATCTCTCTATATATGTTCATTGAAATATCATGTCCATCTTTTGTTTATGCAGGAAGAGGACAAAGATGGAAGCTTCAATGCGTTCGCATCAACATCTCCATTGAAGCCAACATCGGAGGAAAAGAACAATTGAGAGAAAGCAAAATAAAAAGGCAACATGTCTATCGGAAGGCAGCACCATGGCCAATATCATTCAAAAAGTCAGCTAAACAATGGTCAACACCATGGTCAATATCATTCAATAGGAACTCCCTTCAGCATGTAGCTGCAAGTTGTAAAATTAAGTCAGCTAAACAGTACGGTGTATTTGGGTTCTGCCACATCAATGGCTACAACTTTGATTTATTAACGTTACAACGTTTGTTGTCTACTATATTTTGGTAAGTGCATTTCAAAGCCTGTAAATCTTGGTAAATGAAGACATGTTCTTACAACTTCACCCACCATATGTCTACGTGTCGAGATTCACCCTCTGCCTATGAATACAAGCACCATTAACACACGGAGTGGATTGAAACCTTCTTAAACCAGTATAACATCAAAAACAAGTTCGACAATACGAAAATGCATTCTAAGAGTTTAGGAATATTGATGGTGGCACCGGCAAAAGTTAAGGACCGCATGTGTACTCTTTTTCTAAGCACAAATATGATTCTCCTAATAATATATTTAGATATATACATGTAAGAGTATCACAAGGGAAGATGAACCATCCGTTGAATTTTTCTTACTCCCTCAGTTTTAAATTACTTATATATCATTCTAATTCTGTTCAAAGTCAGATATATCTAACTTTGATCATTAATTCTTAAAAAAATCTACGTACGTAGTTCAACAACAAAGAATTATGTATTATCAAAATATTTATTATGATAAATTAAAAATATAAATCTCATGATGGTAAACCATACGAGTTTATAGAAACTGATGATCAAATATTAAAATACAAATAAAATTAATGCTATTACTTGTGTATCACTAAACAAATATATTGATAGCTTAAGTATTCCTCAGAAGTTACAATTATTAATTTATCGAAAATACATACACATATTATATTTTGGACATAGGACTATATAATTGATAACTTTGGTTTCAGCTTTTCATAAACTTCAAATATATTATATAATGATATCCATACAAGAAGTATATATATATCGGCAAAGTATCGATCAAGTATCCGAGAAGTAACAGTAATTAATATATTTTTTTGAAAAATAAAATAAAATCATCACTACGTGACCAATAAGTATAAGTATATAGAGTATCCATACGTATCTATATCCGAAATGCCAGTTTTTAGAAGTGTCCAGTAACTCATGTGAAGGTAAAGCTAGCCGTGAGCCATGGGCAGTTCAAATATATTTTCACACACGCATACACGATTATCCTACACTCCGGTCGCCCCGGGGAGGGGGAAAATCGCTCCCCCCCCCCACCACCACACACACACGACGCGCGCACGTGCTCCTGGGCCCCACCACGTGTCCCTACCACCTGCCATATGTCTCCACCACATAGTGCAGTGCAAAAAATCATCCACATATTTTGAAAACTCTCTACTAATTAAGGAAATTCGTTTCATTTTTTTTTTCACCAAATATGTTTCACCTAGTGTACTCACAATATTTCACTATGTATAGATCTAATTTTGCAGTAAACTGAAACATTCTTTTGCAACAAATCATCCACATATTTTGCAAACCCTCTATTAAAGGAATTTATTTCATTTTTTGTTCCACCGAAAATGTTTCACCTAGTGTACTTATAATGTTTCACTGTATATGGATCAAATGTTGCAGTGAACTGAAATATTCTTTCGCTATTTCATGAAACATTGCTTTTATATAAGGTGAAAGAACGCCCGATTTAAACGATTGAAATATTTTCGATCTACTTAGTGAAACAATTCCGATATACTTGGTGGAACATCGTGCAACATTTAAAGATGGACATCTTTAGTCCCGGTTGAAATAACCGGGATTAAAGATGTATCTTTAGTCCCGGTTGGTACCACCAACTGGAACTAAAGAGAGGGGACCTTTAGTCTCGGTTGATGTTACCAACTGGGACTAAAGAGACAATGGCGGCAGTGCAGATGGTCCCTTTTTCTTTTTCTTTTTTCCTTTTTATTTTCTCCCGAATCAAGTAGGCAAATCCCCAAATCTAACTAACATCCCAAATTCACATCACCAAATCCACATAACAAATAATAAAGTTACTTAAACACACAAATCAAATACATCACAATATCCTAAGAAATTACTCAAATACATCACAGATCCAAACAATGAATCACAAATTTGTAACTTATCAGTCAAATACATCTCAGTGAATCATCACAAATTAAAAAAAAAAAAGAGAATACCGTTGCCGCCGCTTGTTGCCACAAACGACGGGCGCGGCCCCGCCGGCCGCCGGTCGCCGGGCGCGGCCCCGCCGCTCGCCGCCCGCCGCCGCCGCAGCCCCGCCGCCCACCACGCCCGCCGCCGCGCGCGGCCCCGCCGCCCGCCGCCCGCCACCCTCCGCCGGGCGCGACCCCGCCGCCCGCCGCCGGCCGCCGCAGCGCGCGGCCCCGCCGCTGGCCGGCCCGCCGGATGGGAAGGGGAGGCCGGCCGGGAAGGGAAGGAGGAAGGGGAGAGAAGGGGGAGGAGAGGAGGAAGGGGAGGAGTTGGAGAAGAGAGTTAGAGAGGATAGATCTAAGGAAAGGGGGTGAGATTCGATCTGTTAAGTTGTAACTGTGGAGGAGAGGATAAGGGATAGGGATTATATACTACGTGTTTAATTTTAGTCCCGGTTGGTACTATCAACCGAGACTAAAGATCATCTTGATCTTTAGTCCCAGTTGGTAGTACCAACCGTAACTAAAGTGGTGATCTTTAGTCCCGGTTATTGACACCAACCGGGACTAAAGATTCTCGGCCCCCTGACATACATCTGACAGGTGGTGTGATCAAAATTTTTATAACCGGGACTAAAAACAATATTTACTCCCGGTTCTTTTTGAATCCGGGACTATTGTGGATTTTGCCGGACCGACCAAAGATGGTTTCTCCACCAGTGAATGGTGTAATCGGATCATGATTTGGATAAATAATTAAGAGAAAAAATAGTTTAAAGTGGTTTTGCACGCATTCGTTATACTGATGTCAGCGCCCGATTTTCCACCTCCCCATCGGGCACCCGATCCTGAGTTGTGTCCGCGTGTGCACTACACTGTTCGGTCCGAAAAATTCCAACAAATTAGAAGAGGAGCTTAACTAATTGCCGTATTTGACCATTCTTGTCTTACAAGATGGACTTATTGGCACATGTGTACGCACGTCCCACCATATGCCTGCACCTAAATCCGGCCAACAAATTTTGACAGTCTTATTGTCTTAGGCCCAAGTGTTCAACTTTATGATCATCCACTATCACAAGTGGAGGATCAATTTATATGTGTCCAGGTCCAAAACTCTTCCTCATGCCATCCAAGTCTCGTTCCTTTTCGGACAACGAATTACGACCGTGTTTAGTTTATTTTAAACTTTTAAAAATTCCATCACATCAAATATATGTTTAGACACATGTACGGAGCATTAAATATGGATAAAAAAAACAATTATACAGTTTGCATGTAAATTACGAGATGAATCTTTTGAGCCTAATTACGCCATGATTTGACAATGTGGTGCTACGGTAAACATTTGCTAATGACGGATTAATTAGGCTTAATAGATTCGTCTCGCAGTTTACAGACAGAATCTGTAATTTGTTTTGTTATTAGTCTACGTTTAATACCTTAAATGTGTATCCGTATATTAAAAAAAAATTGAAATGGAACTGAACACGGCCAAGGCCTAATAAGAACAAACTGTATTGACTTTACTCACGTCGACGTCATAGTACGTACGTGCTGTTAGTCGTCATGCCGATTAATAATATTAATCCAACTTTCCCAAACCAAGCGAGCAGGTATTGAGGCCTAGCATCAGTTGACTATATATCTCCGCCTTTATTTAGAATTTTAAGCTGGCATTTTGGCTTTTATGACAGATAATGTTCGTGACTTTATTAAGGCTTATAAGGTGAAGTCATAACTCTAATCATATTAAAAA